ACATATATATATATATATATATATGTCTAATTTTGACAGCTAGATCATCTATTGCGTGTGTTCATGAATCACTGTAAGTTCACTTTGTTGATTTTCTAATCGTGTTCTAACGTATGCAAGATAAAAACCGTCCTGTCACCGATCGTATATGCATAAGCTTGGAAATCGTGTAACTCGATTCAGGAAATGGCATTACGTACCTGAGGCAGTTTATACATCGAACATTCGACGTTGCGCTGGAAAAAGGATTCGATAATAATAATTAAAATTTGCTGAATATTTGCCGACCAAACATTTGATTACTACAACCAAATAATTTAGTTCTGTAAACTAAATATACAATATTTATACAATACGGAATTAAAGTCTATTGCAATAATCAAATATTTTGTCGGCAAATATTCACCAAACCTTAATACTTATTACCAGACCCTCTTTTCAGTGTATCGATTTATTCGTTTAGGGATCGTTTCCTCATAAATATCAAGCAAGGGCAACTGGCGCGTGCTCCGAATCACGTCGCTGCGAGAGAAACCTCGAGGACTTATCTCTCGGAAAATAACGTATGTCCATCTTCGGGACGGGCGTCATCTGCACGGTAACTCGTAGTAAAATGGTCGGAAAAATGCAAGAGCTGCCCATCATCTGTTGAAAAACTTGACCTAAACGCGTGCAATGGATGAGCAAGAGTAGTCGGTGCACGTGATCGCACCGTGATCGACGTTACCATTGGCGGAGGCGAGGAATTGAGACATGTGTGGCAAACGTGACCTTATCACCGTCGGCCTTTACGGTATACATGTGAAGGGGGAAACTGTCCGTTGGGCTTATCAGATCTCATTTCTACTATCAAACGCTTAAGAATCTGTTTTCTGCTTATCGCCAGATCCACAATTGGAATTAAGTGCCATTAGGCTCCGATTGAAATCTTAATAAATTTGTTGACGTTTGACGTAGAGAAGACACGCGGGAGATCGCCTAATGTTATGACAAAATCAAATTAGACGCTCGATCGCGCGTAACTCGTGTCGATTGCCGCGCTGATTCACGCGCGCACCTCGAGGTGCACGGAAATGTTATGAATTTTTCTTCAGGTTAGGTGATTCATTTGGCGGACGGTTTCTTTCTTTATCGGGCCACGTGTGCACAATGAATTGCTCTGTTTTCCAAACTACGTTTGTGTGTACACAGCGTTACTGCGCAGCAGGTTGGACTCGTCACGAACGACGGATTATCGGCTACTTGACGCCGATGGGACGCATCCGGTTCACAATTGCTACCACGTGCCGAACATGACTGCAAATTGCGATAACTTCGACTTTCGATCTCTGGTCATGCCCGGAGCTTGTGATTCGAAAGACCAATCCGGGAAAATCTGCGTGACACGCTAAAAAGCTCAGCCGGCCGCGCTGGGGACTTGTGCAATAATCTGCGCCGGCGACCGGGTTCAGGGAGACGCGATGAAAAGGAGGAAAATTATATGTACAGGAATAGAGTCGGGAATAGTGGAGGGGAAGTCCATCGACGCCGCAGGGAACAGCCGGATGTTGATGAAGAGCGAAATTCGTTCACCCCGGCCGCGCGCGAAAATATTTCTAATCCCGAGCGGCTGGTCTCCCTCGAAATTTTTATTATTATTATTACTCATCGAATAAGCGGGGAAAAAAATGTTTCCTTTGGAGTAAAAATACATAATTAGTTGCACTTGCTTGCATTATATATACGAAATTTAAAAAATTATAGTAATATCTGAATGAATAGTATTCAAGGAAAATAATTACAAGAGTATCGAGATAAGAGTCTGATCAGTTTAAGTTTGAAAGCATTATGAGATAAGAAAGAAACCGATATTACTCACACAGCACAAATAGATTTTGAGAATCCATGAGTATCGTAAAAGTATATCACGTATATTCTCAGAATATTCGAGATATATGCCGAATATTCTGAAAACATACTGAAAATATACGTAATATACTGAGAAATATCGTATTCTAAGCTTCTATATCCTAAGTATATCCCAAGAATATACGATATGATATATCATGAAAAATGTTATAAAGATATCCTCAGAATGTTATGTATACCTACAGTATATTCAGTATAAAAATAGCAGGGTTGGATGAAGTAACTTAAATTAGAAGTTAAAAATTAGTTATGCGAGATATATTTATTAATCTAACTTACCTATTCTTTTTTTAAATTATATATATATATATATATATATATAATTAAAAAAAAGAATTTTATATATATATATATAATTCTATTTTAATTTTAGTCAATTAATTTAATTTTAACTCAACTTTTAATTAATTAGCTTTTGTTTCGGTTATTTTTAACTTAACTAAATTAATTGTACAAGTCATTAATTTCTAACTTAACTTTAAAAAAGAAGTTAGTTTGCAACCTTGAAGAATAGTACATATAAGTGATATCGTGTGCTGTCTGAGTGTTGAATATAACATTGGCCAACATGCTCAAACGATTATTTACGCTGAATTTCTTACGCAACGTACAATGTCGCGAGATTGTAAATATGTAAATGGGCATTCCTTAAGTTCCTATTCAGGACGTTTAACTCAACAAACTCCAATAAATCCCATTTTAGCCCATTAAAAAAATGTGTTAATTATTTTGTATTATTCAGCAATTTATTTGTTACTTTTTTTAAACTGTTCTTTTAAATTGTCGAAAATAGCTTCAGGATTTGCTGATTCGGTGTCGAAATTTTCAACAATAGCGCAAATTTCCAACTCAATAACTCAAAAATTCGCCCCGTTGGCGGGACAAGTGCGCGTCTCCGCAATATTTTATGATAAATCGCCGCGCGAGAGAAGTAAGCAAAATTTCGAGACGCTCGATGTGTCAGCGGTTAAAATGCACCGTTCGATTCGAGTTATGCATCACCTGACCGCGAAACATCTTATTCGCTCTTCTTGCGCGTGCTTTTTAATACAAATTGCACGTTTGAGCACGGCCGAAGAAAAAACGATACATAAGTAAATAGTGTACAAGCGTGTACGCATCATAGCCTCTCGAATCTCCTAGGCGAAGAAAATATTATACGTAATACATTAAAGCTCATAATGCTGACCGCAGATTCCTTTCCTCGCCGTAACGTTTGATATTTCCATATCTTTTTCTTGTAGCTTTTGTCAGCTATTTCTTTCAGCTTTACTTACGCAATATGCCACACGCTGGGAAAAAGTTTTGCTCATATTCGAGAAAATAAATTATATTTATCGGCTCGTTGTATGGCAGGAAATTTCCAAGACCTCTGATTCTTGTTGCGTGGCTGCGCTCGGTGTCTGGGGAGCGACAAGTACACACAAGTCGGACTAATTGACAGAGGAAGGGAAGTCCGTCTTCGTGAGATATCGTTGCGTATGCAACTGTTTTGTCTACATGGTGTAACAACTCAACAAATCAGTCCGCTCAACCGGCATTGAAGAATACTTGATGCGTCACAGACGCGATATACGTACGGAGCATTAAAAGAGCCGAGACGATAAGTAAACGCAAGAAAATCGATGACTTGCTCTCTGATGAAATCTGCGCGTGTCCGCGAGGACATGGCAACCAGATCGTATTTTTGCGAGTGATAATGGTTCCATAACTTCGCGAAATCGTCCAAATATCGCCGCCTCTTCGTCTCTTCTCTTCGTCCATCTATCTGTTTGTCTCTATTTCTCTCCCCTTCTTTTTTTCTCTATCTCTGGCGCACGATCACACGTCCTTCGCGTGCGCCAACGAGCGAAATTTACGCGGAGGTCCTGCGAGAGGATCTCCTTGAGATTTTGCGGTCTTCGATCCCGGTGCAGTGGTCGTGCCTTTTATTTCGATTTTAAGGAAGGGTTTCATCCACCGGTCTTCCTAGTCCTTCTCAGGTATTCATATTACATCGGAAAGAGCGGCCGAGTGTTGCGTAAGAAACGGGACTCACCGAGGCTCCCAATCGTTCATGAAGAGGCCTCGCGATATATTCATATCCGGATACCCGATGTACTTTGTAACCGCTTTTTGTTTGTTATGATGCAACATTTCACGCGAAACACTAAGCTCCGACTCTACCGTTATGATATATTTAGACCCGTTACTTCCATTACACAATTTCGCAAATCTCGTTGGGTGATTTTGCGATCTCCGCTATCTAAGTATACACAGTAAGAAATTGTGTGTAAATAACGGCCCACTGAAATTTGGTGTTAACTTTAACATAAGAATTAAAGACACAAATATATGTTAAATTAATATATTCACATAAACACATTATTTTGTAACATATTCGTCTTGTTAAAGTAACACAAAAATCTTAGATTGTGATTTACATAAAGATTCTTTTACTATTGTACACGTGAAATATATGTCGGATCGCTTTTACCGGAAATGAAAATAAATTCGGCCGAGTTGATACGCTCTTCAAATCGTAGAGAAATACCGCTGGCGATACGTAGAACCTGTTTCCGTCATAAAGGTGTCATTCGATAATTACTTGTGGGCATTAATCAGGCTGTTCACGGGCGAACAGCCTCAGTGCCAGCGAACAATGTCAACATACTACGGTGGTACCCCACCGGGATATTACAGGACTCTTACTTTGTTAGCCTTCGTAAAACTGCAGCTCTCTCGATGTGTTATTTTCATTATTCCATCGTTAATTATGTCGTTAATTACGATAGATATTGGTAATAAGTCATTCCGTGTGATTTGATATCGATGATACCGATGCATATTCAACCTTGAAATAGCAAGGCCAACCAGCCGTTGAAATTTGACGACGTTAAACGAGTATGCCAGCTATGCAAAATTAACAGACGTATTCCATGGCGTTAAACGCCCGTCCGACACCTACAGACAACTGTAATTTATTCACCGTGAAATTTCATAATTGACAGTCTACATTGCACAAGCGATAATCGAAAATAATGAGAAACAGACGAATTTCCGCACGTCTGTTGGTTAACTTCCCAGGAAAAAATGATTATATATGAATTTTGTCTATATATATATATATAATCTTATATAGTTATATATCTTACATCTAAAAAATATTGTTATACGAATGTAATTGCAGTAAATACTTATGTTCATATGGCTGCCTGCGATGTAAACATTTAATTCAATCAAAATATTTCTCCCCCTTTTCACTCAACGATACTTTTATTTCGCGTAAACATATATAATTAAATATATAGCCATATAGAAACAAAATTCATATATAAATTATATATGATTATATATAATTATATATAATTTTATATGATTATATATAATCTCTTTTCCCCGGGTTTGCGTTACTAAAGATATTTCCTTGCCCTCCGTTATATTTATCCATAACTGTAAATATATCGTAACTATTAATCACGATAAAGTGAGTGAATATATAAAAATTTTAATTAACTATAATTGCCATTTTTTCGGCATTTACGTTATATATTTTTTATGCGTGCGTGCGTGGGGATGTGTAGGTTGTGAAAAAAATTAATTTACATACTGCTACGCATTCATTATCATATTGCTCATCTGAGGGCGAAATATCATTTGGACGAAATGAAAGTTTCAATCACTAATTAGGTATCGGTATCACATAAAAATCAAATTACACATATGTACTAATAAATTTACGTTTGCAAGCAACAGGTATTTTTTAATATTCTAGATATGCTGCTACGATTATAAATTCATATTTAAAATTTTTCGTTCATTACACATAATTATAAAATGACTGCGACACAGAGTTGCCAATTATAACATTTAGAAGAACCCTTTATAAACATAGAGAATAGGGGAAAACCGAACGCGGAAAGAAATGCCGATGAGTCAACAAAATGTCTAACAGCGGCGTAATTGGAATCTTCATGATTCAACGACACAAATATCATTCAAACTACTATATTACGTATCGTTTCAATAATTACACTAGTTTCAATAATATCACTATTGAATCAAGATTTGCTCGAATTACGCGTGGAATTGGAAATTCCGCTGATTCACCAGCATTTATATTTCTTTTACCGCGCATAGAGCGGCGCGTCTCGACTTGTACGGGATAATTCGAGTCGGCTTCAGCGCGTGGAAGTGGAGAAAAAGGGAGCAGCCACGCAGTGACGGCTTTTAATCATCCCGCTCCCGGGTACGTGCGTGCCGGGAGGCGCGTCTCAACGCATACGCGCCCGTGCACGCGTTTCCCACGTCGTCGATCCTTTTCCACATTCATGTCAGTCACGCGGGAAACATCCGCGTTCTCCCGCCAATTGGTTTCGCCCGTTGGGACCGACGTCGGCGGCCAATCCGGCGTTGGCTGCGACGGAACCTGCCGCACCGGTTGCCCCGGCGCACGTTCCGTGCGGCTGATCGCCTCTCCGTGGATTCACACCCGGCGGTGGAGGTGGATGACGGCCTGGTAGTCACTGCTCGCGACACCACAAAAGCCGGTTAGTCGCCGAACGAAGCATCGAGGCCGCACAGCACGCTCTCGCGCTCCGGCAGCACCAGCCGTTCCTCCAACAGTCACGCGTTGTACTTATTGATCGTGTCGCGGGGTCCGGGAGTCGACGAAGAATGGGCATATTTCGCGAATTCCCCATAGTCTTCAACCTCTATAAGAAGTACAGTTAGCTCGCGGCCATCTCGCCGCAATCTCGCCGAGAGGGGACCTGTGAATTTCCTCGTGAACCTGCGAACCTCCGAAGCGCCGATCGCCCGAACGAACACGCAGGTGAGCGCCGTGATTAGAACAGGTTTGTGTCAAGTCGTGCGACCTTGAGTCTCCAGATGATATAATATCCGCTTTTTTAGATTAGACGCGGAACGGCCGCACTAACGACCGCAAATTCGAGCGGGGTCAATCGAAAAGACCGTATCGTAGACAGGCGTTCGAATAGTTTCCGTTGTGCTTCTAAATTTAGCAGGGCGTGCTACGTCGCAGCGAACATCGACGCGTTCAGGGCTACGTGCGGAAAACACTCTGTCAATGCTGTTGCGCCATTCTGTCCTTGTTTTGCGTCCGACGAGCGGCGAAGATACGTCGGTAGTTACTTGAGTCTCGCGAGTGCGCGAAAGACGCTACGTTGCCCGCGAGACGGCTCGTCGAAAGTCCAAAATAAATTCTGGATTCCTCTCGTGTCTCGGCTGTTCATTTGACTGTTTATTATTATAACGTAACCGCTCCATTTGTGCGCATTTTGCTTCTCGGTGTGCGCGTTCAAGCGGCGGATATCGAGCTGCCGAGTTACTCGCTTAAATCCGTGCGCGCGAGTCGCCGAATTGCGGGCCAATCCGCGTGACGGCAGGATGACAACAGCGCTGCCAAAACGGAAAGCGGAAAAAGAACGGTGACAAATTTGCAAATTTTCGGGTTACGAATGATCGATTGTTCCTTCGTGGAATGTTTCGGTGTTAAAACGCAGAAATGAATCGACAAGTGTGTTTCAGCAAGCAACACTTCTTTATTGCTGACATTGTCTGAAGTTCAAATATTTACTCTCGTCGTTTTTAATCAGTTAATTAATTACACCGGTATCCGAGTCGCGCGAAGCGAAAGATTTTTCGTAGAAGAACCGCGCGTCATTGTGAATTCCAGTGCAGCCCGCCCAGGTGAGTTATCGATGGTCATGACACTTTTAATCTGCAACTAGCCGGAGATACGCGCGTGTTCGTCCAGCTTACTTCACGAGAATGCGAATGCAGTTGCCTTCTTGCGAAAAAAATTCCGTTGGCCGGGCCGAAAATCCAAAAAGTTCCGGTTTTCTCTTAGAGTCCGACTATTAGCGCAAATCGAATGCAGACATCGGACTTTTAAATAACGTTTTCGACTTTTTTCATCATTTATTTATTTCATGTAATTAATTACTTAAACGTAAGATTTTTGGCATTTCTTTACATCACGGCGGGACGGAATATTTCAGATTTCGAGAAACATCGAGCAAACAAGATACGTCGGGACGCACTTTCATATAAGCCCGATATTAAGGAGGTGGAGAAAAAAGAGGAAATGGAGTGAAAAATACGCGATTCGTGGGTGATTTAGGAACAAATAGGACTCATCGGAGTTCGGGGTTAAAGTTGATGCGGTTTCGTCAGACTCCCCCGACACGCACTCTCCGTGTAAAAAAATCCTACAAACTGCACGGCCTGCGCTTTTTCGCGATTGCAAAGCCACGTATTCAGCAGAAACTCTTGTGATCGGCGGATTAATCTCGGGGTCGACAGGGCTATCGGGGCTGTGACGCCTTTTTTCTTTACCACCGTAGCTTCGACACCGCGAAACGACGAAGATCTCTCAGTGCTGGCTGAAACGCTCGCTGGTGATCTTCGCGAAGGGTTCCCGCCGTGAACGATCGGTAATCGGCCGGGTTTCGATTGCGCTAAAAACACAACTCTTCCTCAGAATTTCACCCGGCTCCGATCTGCGATCGCGATCGAGCTACCTCTGATCGAAATATCTTGATTAATCATAGCCGTTGGATGCAGTTATTCACCGAACGTTCCTCTCTTCCAGGTGACATCCGGTGTCTCAGGAAGACCGCCCTCCCACAATCAGGCGGACGTGATTCACGTGAAGATCGCCCTCCGAACGCACTCCCTGAGGATCTTGCCAAGATGTCGCAGGTATCAGGAATCATGGAGGAGAAGGATGTGCTGAAGGGGAAGCCGACTCTCGTCAGACGAGTCTCCGATATGTTCAAGGGTGAGCAGGCCGCGATCTCAGTGTTATCAGAAGAGGTCCCTCGCCTTCTAAGTAAAATACATATTTTGGCCAACTAAAATATCACTCTCTCTCTCTCCTTCTCTCGACACGTTCTTATCGCGCGAATTACATATTCGCAGTATCTCATAACGAGACTATTTTCGGCATCCGATGATTTGCGAGCGACGATACTCGGCGCGCGCCTCCCATGCGGCGATTGTAACGTCAACCTGTTTTTTCCCCCTTCGATAGACGGGAGCTACAGCGGGCCGCCGATGCTGTTCCGCAACGCGTCGATGCGGAGGATCCGCCACTGCTGTCAGAATCTCAACCTGCTGCCGTACCTCCTCTACTCCTTCGACAACTCCAAGTCGCACCCGATCGCGCGCAAGGTGCACGTCCACCTCAGCCGCTTCCTCCGCAACATCGTCGTCAGCTTGCTCATCACGTACGAGAACCTGCGGCAAGAGGTGTTGCGGGGCTTCCTCGAGCAGAAGCGCAGCGAACAGCTGGAAACGATCCCCGGGGGCCAAGGAGTCGCCGACTGTTCCGCACCCAAGTTCGACAAGTTCGAGAGGCAGAAGAGCAGCAAGCCGCGGCACTCCCTCCTCCTGATCGTCGCCGTGTACCTGGTGCCGCTGCTGTTGGCCCTCCAGGTGATGTTCCTGTGCAACCTGACGATCCTCGGCAAGTACGCGCCGGGCTTCATCTTCCTGATCGTCGCGCTCCTCTTCCTCGGCGGCATCGGCCTCAAGATTCTCTTGCACGAGACCGCGCTCTGCAACATCGGCAAGTGCGAAAGGAAGAAACTCAAGTGATCGGCTTCCCTCGTCTCGCCGTCTCGGCCAGTCGCTTCGTCGTCCAGAGACAGTAGAAGAGCCGAGGTTTCCCGGATACCCGGGGTTTCCCGGATCGAGCTCTTCCCGTTCGCGTTCCCGTACACCACGAACTCCCCCACGGAACTTGCTACTCGCGCAGTCGCCGCATATGTTAACACACACATACATACAGACGTCGCGCATCGGTCAACAGTCTCTTCCATTTACCCTAACGTAGCTCTTCTAGATTCCCGCTCTCACGCGATGACGATCCCGGCCGCGGGTCTCGCGTATATCCGTGCACTGAGAGACGAAAATATCGATCAAATATGAGATATTCTTATTCGGTGAGTAACAACACTTTCACTTACATCTCAATACGTGCAATTTTTTTTTACGCTGAAAAAAACATATTTTCTTCCAAATGAAATAGAAGTGTAAGTTTCCTTCAAAATGTAGCTTTCTCACGAAGAGCAGTGTCCGTTTTACTTTAGTAGAGAGTATAGATTTAAGTAAATATGTTACTAATTACTCGCCGAATAAATATTTGTTATTTTGTAATTATTTCCTCTCTCTCTCTCTCTCTCTCAGTGTACACACTCTCTTTTCTTTTTCTACGTTGCGTCGAAAATCCGAGACAGCCGGCGCGACGTAGCGTCTCGTCGCAAAATACGTAACGTCATATAAAGAAGACTTAAGCATCTTCGGTAGACTTAAGTATCGCGAGTACACGTTTTTATGCGAAGCATAAACTGAATTCTTTCTCTTTCTCTCTCTCTCTTGAACGCGCGAAATCTCAGAGGGCACTTGAACTCCTCTTGTACTCTTAACGAAACGATACTATTAAAGCATCGCGTAGTACCTCGTCCTCTGCAGCATAAGACTGAGAATCGTTTTTAACGTACCTGTTTGTAAATAAAAGATAAAGAAAGCCAATGTGTTGTATAACGCGTGATAGGGGGGAGGGGGTGCTTTGTTTTCGAAGAGTCGAAATAAATTGCTCCGCGGAACGGCAGAGAGAAAGAGGAGGGGAGAGAAAGAGAGAAAGAGAGAGAGAGCTACGGATTCTACGTAGGAACTTGGTACGTCCATTGAAAGTTTAGTCTGATCTGTGATGGAGTGGGTACAAGTGATATGTATATCCCGCGGGCACTTGCGATACCACTTAATTACCGCGCGATAAGAGTATGTAACGTGTAGATATACGATTTCTAAAAATATACGCCCTCGGCGAGCATATATATTTACGAGCGAACGTTGGATATTTTCCCGTCCTCACGATGCGCAATCGTATCGACGTCGGATACGATTTTATCCGCGCGTGATCAAGATCGACGAAATGAAACTGGCACAGAGAACGGCCGCGAAGACGCGATGCAACGTCGTCGGCGCCGCGTCGTTTGAATACGCGCCGACTTTCGCGGCGTACGCTATCACGTGCGCCACGTAGTTCTGCTCGTGCACGCTGTGGAAAAGGTGGGCGTGCGGTCCTGCAAAAGAAGAATCGACCAGTTCAGAGCCGTTTTCCTTCCTTTCGGAAAGCCCTGTATTCTGTGACTTCTAACGACGGAATGGCCGAAAGATACACATAACAGGAGTAAAAACGATGAAATATTTGTTTACGCTCGTGACTGGCGCTGTCGATAAAAGTCAGGGGCCGAAGTGTCGATCACGAGCTTCCCGGCGCGCGCGAAGCCCTCTAATTTCCCACGATCTTACCCGGGGTGCTTAGTAATATCCAATCAGACAGAGTCGATACCTATAGCGTACACGGGAACGTCGCCGCCGGCATGGTAAGCCTCGTCCGTAATGATCGTGGCCTGTTGGCTGTAAGTGAAATCGCTGGTGTTCGATTTGGACGGATCGATCCTCACAGTTTCGCCGTTTTCCCCGACGGTGTAAGCGACGTTGTTCGGACCGCCTGTGCTGTAGGACAATGTCGTGTACGGTACATCATCGTGCTTGGATCTCTGAGCGATGCCTGAAACAGTCACGGATTAATCCGTAAGTCGACGGGTGACTTTTTCGAGGAACAAAGCAACTGCTATTTGTAGCTGAGATTATCCAGTGTTATCGACTTGCTACTTCGAAGAGTAAGTGGCGGAGGCAAGTTCCTGAAAGCGTCAGTGTCAGCGGAGGAAAACGAAACGGAGATACATTCCTTCGTTTATTTGTGTCTATGAGTCGATCCCCACGAGTCTATTTAAGGGTTAAGAAGATAAAGGCCCACCGAGAGCACAAATCTTACCCAGAATGGACGAGCCTCGAGCGCTGTAACCGTTAAAGCTCATTGAATGAGAGTGGTCGCTAGTGACGATAATAAGAGTGTGGTTGGTGTCAACCATTCGAAGAGTGGCGTTGACGGCGTCTGAGAATCGAACGGTCTCCAAAAGGGCTTGAGCGGCGTGACCTCGGTGATGTGCGAAGTCAATTAGTCCACCTTCGACCTGAAAGAGAGCGATTATGTATCTGCATTGGTTATCAATCGGAAGAGCGAAGAAAGCAGGTCCGCTACCATCAGGAAGTATCCTTCCGGGGACTTCTGAAGAACGCGCAAGGCTGCGACGGTCATCTCTTCCAGGCTGGGTTGCCCCTTAGGGCCGCGCTCGCGTTTCCAGTCCATCTCGATGTGCCCGTTGGCGAAGATCCCGAGCAGATAATCCACGTTATCGGTGTCAACGCGGGACAGCTCCTCGTTGTTTTCGACCACGCTGTAAGCCAGCATCCGGTCGGACTTGTCTCTCGTCCATTCATGGATGAGATCGCGACCGTCTCGCCGGTAGCAGGCCCAAGAATCCACCGGATCATGCTCGGCCGCGCTTACATTGGACTTTAACATCTGCCTGCCGCCGCCCATGATTACCTGGCGGAGAGTACGAAACGCGTGAGCCGTCTTGCGACAGTCGCTCGACGTGAAATGCTTCCTTCATTTAGGTGAAGCTTGGTTCACCGCCTACGTTCGCCCGGTAAATTAGTCGGTGCGTGCGCGCCCATTACACGGTGAACAATATACCCTCCCACGATAATTAAAATTACAGAACGTGTTTTGTAATTTTTTTCGCAAAATATAGATCGTAATCAGTAATATTTCGTTATCTTTGCAATTTTTATAAATGAATTGCTGCTTCCCGCCAAAACTTAGAGATGGCCTCCCTGCTTACCTCCACCCCCGGCTACGTCGCTACAACAAGCGCGATTTAGCTTCTAAAGACCCTTTCTATTTCTCCGTGGTCAGTCGCCGACTGAGCTTGTAAATATAAGTTTCTTATTATTTACTCGAATATTTTTCCCGGGCTCATCCTCCACCAATTGCCGGGCGATATCCTTGCAGCCGCTGGCGTTCCTCGGCATCTTCGACTCGCACTCCCACCGGCGATTCGCACAGTGCGCGTAAAGCGGCGCCGGAGTAGCGTGAGTGACTCGAGTGGTCGTCACGAAACCTGCACTTAATTACGTTATCGTTCATGAGACTTGCAGTTGTGTAAATATGTCGTTTTAGAAAGTCCGATAGTCCGCAGGTCTGTCTGATATCGAGGACGAAGCAAGAGTTCCTGTTCTATCTTCGTGTAAGACTCTCCAAGAAGCGTCATTATCAACATATGCGTCACCTCTTAGATAATCTTTGGATATCTTTTTATACACAGATCGTCGACAAAGGCGAAGAAACGGCGCGAAAAATATCCCGGTGAGATTATTAACGCAACAGAAACGCGTGCAGGTTTCCTTCGGCGCATTTCTTTGTTCGCCCAGTCGATTTATGTAACGTCGGACATTTCGACGTCGCTGGTTGCAACTCGAACTGACCTGTGGCTTTGCCGGCTGCTTGGGCCCATGTTATGAACGAATCGACATGATAATTCGGGTTCAAGCTCGCCTCGCAATCTCCCAATTGCACGTGCGCGTCCACACCGACGACCTCGTAATTTGTTTTGACTCCACCGAAGAGCGCGGTGGCGGTGGACGCCGAGTCCGGCACTTGTTTGTTCGTGTTATACGTCTGCATTGTGTGATCAACAATATATTCGATCTAGTTCGACATTACTGTTGGCGCTTTCGAGATGATTTTCGAGGAGCTACGCTTACTTCCTTCCTCTTGCCTCCTCCGCTCGCTCGACGAGCCAAGCGGCTGAGTTGAAGAGGCAAGGAAAAGAAGGTAGCTCTCGAAAATTGTCTCGAAAGCGCAACTCCCAGCACTGATTTATATAATTTGTCATTTGAAATACGCTCAATAAAAAAGAAAAAAGAAAAAACGAGACGCGTTGTATAAAACACAAGTCGCCTCTAATATAAAAATCCGGACGTGTCGACCTTCAGGATCCCGGTATGGGGAAAATGTTCCCATGCTAGTTGACTGGTTTCGCCGGCGCGATAAATTCTACTGGCTGTTATGGTATCCAGACTCATCCCGTCGCCCAAGAAAAGGATCACATTTTTCGCTTTCTTCATGTTCCAGCGATACGAGAGAGACTCCGCGAGTTCTTTGTCGGCCAAGTCGTGCCAATGTTGACTGTCTGCGCCAAAAGCCACAAGACGACACATTCAATCCTCTCTTACCATACTTGACAGGTATTATTCGCGCAAACATGTCGATCGATTAAGCGAGCGAGTTTTTGTCCACCGGAGTGAGTAAAGCTGAATTCTTCGGAACCGTCACGAATGGGAACGAGATTTAGCTGTTGCGAATCTCGTCGTCGATAAGGAAGCGCGCTTCGCGCGGCCCGCGCGCGTTTGGATAACATTAATCTCTCGTGGCCTTGAACTACACATCGCGATAGCGTATCATGATGTTTCGCGAACAGTGAGGATCCAATGAATCGTTAGTGAAACATAACACGCGAATGCGGGACGATTATACAATGACTCGTGCTCAAATACCTTCTATCGCAGCCGAGCCCAGAAACCCGTAGAGGCACATGGCGAAGTAGAGGACGGGACGCTTCATCTTCTTGTTAGTCTTACACTTTAAACTCGTTGAGGAAATATCCGTCAAATATATCGACGCATATAAACGAGGGCACATACAAACTTGCATCGGATCGAAAGCCGGCCTTCGCGTCCTCTGCTGAGACGCAACGGGAATCCTGCAGAGAAGATTATGTATCAAACGATAACGGAGATCTCTGCAACTCTCGAGTCGTCAGCCGAAATGCGCGTCAGTCGAGATCACGAGGAGAGGAAGTCTCACCGTCTAAGATGATGTTGGAGCGACGGCCGAACTTGAACGGGGAAGCGCCCTCGTTGAAGCGATACTCGAAATGTCGATAAATTCGTGACATTGTAAATGCGATATGGGAGCAAGTGTGTTAAGTAAACATGCGAGATACGGGAAAGTGTGATGGAGCGAGTGAATAATACAAGAGAGAAAAAGAGAGTTATACACTACTACTGCTCTACTTACCATCCTGCATTTATACCGCGCGCGTGCAAATACATAAAATTCGTTCTACCACGCTCCGGTGAAAAAATGTTCCATATATAATCATATATAAATATACAAGATTATGTATAATTATATTAAATTATGCATAAAATTTGTCTATGCATAATCACTTAATACTAATCACACATAATTATGTATGATTAGATACGATTGGATATAACTGATATTAAATAATTATGCATGGACAAAAACTTCATACATAATTTAATTTAATTATGCATGGTTATACATATTTATACATGATTATGAATGAAATATTTTTGAAGGGGACACTTTCTCATTAGACTCACAGTTTTAGTTTGGTTGATGCACCGTTGTACCTTAAATTAATCCAAAGTACAATTATTTTGTACAGACGAACTGTATGTACAACTTTTATATTAAGCAAAAGTTTCCATGACTTGATCAGTTGTACGCATTTAACAATGCGACACTATGCAGACTTCTTGAATCTTTTTCTATTCTCAGTCTCCCGTTTGTCATTCCGCGCTTTGCAAGTATATTTTACGCGTATAAAACGATTTAAATTTTGTAAAGCCACTTCGGAGAACGATGGAACCTGTAATGTCGGTAATCACCAATCACTCCAACATCACTTGAAATCGACGTATGGTAATTTAGCAAGCGATCAATACACCGTGCAATCGCATCCGGTCTTGGAGGGGAGATGCGCGAATGAGGGAAAATGAGAAAAATAATTCTGATTCAGCTAACATTCATCGTAACGTTTTATTTGATTTGTTGTTTATATCCATTATCTGTGTTCTTACAGATCGCAACACATCGCGTAATATAATCTTTTATAAGTTTCGCTCTCTCTCTCTCTCTCTCTCTCTCTCTCTCTCTCTCCCTGTCTCTCTCCCTTTCCCTCTTCGCCTGTTAGTCTTTGAACAAAACTACTAAAAATAGACTCGATAAAATCAACCGCTCAAGCCTTTTCATATTTTCTCGCGTTTCATTTTAATCGAACGCGAGTCGATGAGATCCGAGATGCAGTCGAAGAGTACACATACACTTGAGAAGAGAATAGAGGGCGCGACGCCCAGAAAATTTCTAAAAAGCTCGCAATAGATGAGAAACGGAAAAGCTATTCGTCGTTCAGCTGTTCAGCGCTCGCCCGCTATATGAACGTTTCGTCCACCGACGGTATCGTCGTCGTCATTCGATGAGCTTCGCGCACAACGAGATCAACGAGTGTCCGTCCGTCCGTCCGAGCGAACGTCGCTCAAGGTGCGTGAGGAATTATTTTTATATTACTCCGCGCCGGGGATGCCCTTGGCACGATTGGCCACGGACAATTTTGATTGAACGCAACTCGCGCACCTTGACACTCGGCTTCCCGGATCGAGACGGCGTCTCGTTTCGCTTCCCGGTAAATACGGTAGGTAGGTAAGAAGGCAGGCGGGTAAGTAGGTAGTTCCGTGAGAAAGAAAAGCGCGGGAAATTTCGGAAGAGAAATGAAACGGCACCATGCCGGCTCTCGAAACGGAAGGCAACGCATAGCGTCTAATCTCAGTTGACGCAAAAAGTTCTCGATATCGCCTGTCGAAAGGTAGAACGTTGGGATTTCATTAAGTCGTTACGCGAGCATTACGCTGAAACTCGAGTCGACACTCGGGCCTCGTCCTTCCTGCGGGACGAGGATCGCCGTGCCGATGTCGATCTAATTATAAACTGTGTCTACAAATTCTGTCTCTCTTATATAGATGTATATATATATATATGTATATATATAATAAAGTACAATAAAGTCGTTCTTTCGTTACGTCTAACCGTGATATACGCGTTTCGTATTTCTCACAGACGAGATACGATCGTCTCCCCTCTTCGTCCCTCACGCACACCTCTTTTCCTTTATCCTCCTTAGATCGAAGATTATTGCCAACGATTACGTTATTTCCTCCTCTTCACGTGTTTCCCTTTGCCTCCCCGTTATCGACCGTCAACACTTGCGATGAGATCAAATGTGACCTCGGCGCACGTGTATCGCATTAAACATCAGTTCGGAAATTCGCGACTTGCCTTGAGCCTCGGTTTCTTTCTACGTACGATTCGTGATTTCACGCGTACGGCCGCACCTTCCCGAACGCCGTCGAGTCGAGTCGAGCGATGAAAACTCGAGTCGACGTTGCTTTAACGCAAAGAATAGCGCGATTATTCACTCATTAGGTCAAGTTGATCTCATGGCAGTATATGGGGAAAACGTTATAATAAAATATTGTGGTAAAAATTATCGTAAAATTTTGCAACGGACCATGCTGGAATCATGATTGAAATTATGACCGAAATTATGATACGTGTCGTAATCTTTAGTGATGCAACCTTTAATGATATCGTGTGTGCACATCATTAAAAATTACGATACACGTAAATAATGTATCATGCGTATACGTTACTAAAGACTATAATACATGTAATAATTACGAGAATAATTCCAGTATAATCCAGCGTTACAAACTTGTGTAATATTTACTATTAGGCGTTTCGGTTAGTTTTGAGGGTTGACATTAGATGCATTATTGGATGAAGATTCAACTTAAACGCTCAAAGAACTTGCAGAACAGCTGGATATTGGTCAAATCACCGTGTACGATCGTTTAAAAGCCATGGAAACGATCCAGAAGGAGGGGAAATGGATTCCACATGAGTTGTCCGGGTTGGCGAAATCCGAAATCGTAATAACACTTGCGTTTCACTGCTTTCAAGCCATAAAAACACGGTTTCTGTATAAAGTTGTAACTGACAACGAAAAGTGCATATATTTCGATAATGTTAACGAAAGAAATCATGGGTGAATTCAGGATAATCATCAACATCGACGCCAAAACGCAATATTCATGGAAACAAGATTATACTCTGTATTTGGTGGGATTATGAAGGTGTTATGTATTATGAGTTGTTAAAACCAGATGAAGCGGTTACAGTTGATCGCTATTCATAACAATTACACAAATTAAAGCAAGCATTGGATAACATACGATTTCCAACCGTGAATAAAAGATGTAAGGTGATTCTTTCGCACAATGCCAGGCCACGTGTCGCTAAGTCCGTGAAAGACAAATGATTGGCTGAGAAGTCTCACCTCAATCAGCGTATTTTTCAGACATTATCTCATTATTACTTGTTCCGATTGATGTAACATACGCTTCAAAATACACATTTTCGAAACTTTGAGGAGACCGAAAAATTCACCGACGAATGAATTGCTTAGAAAGAAAAGACTTTTTTCTACCAAAAGTGGGATCCACTTATTTCCAGAAAGATGGGAAAAGTCTGTGCCAAGCGGTGAAAAAATATTTTGATCGAAATACAATGTATCGTTATTGTTTTTGCTTCTTTTTTTTAATAAATGCGTTTTTGAGCCAAAAAACCCTTAAAATTAACCGAGACCCCTGATATAATATTATCTTCTTGTACAATCGCGCTAGTATTCCTCGGACTCAACCACGACTACGGTTGAGGGTGCGTCGCGCGGGAGGATCGGCAAGTCGGTCACGTCGAGGAGTTCCGCGGCCTCGCGAGAGGTCCGTCCCAACGAGACTCTCGCGAATGTTTCGCTCCGCGCTTTTATCCCGATGCGATCTTGTCACGGACATAGACATTTCCCGTTGGCGTGACTTTGAGAAATCGAATTGGGTCGATTTTTAGCGCGCGCGCGAAGCTCGGCCGCCGTCGTCGTACCTGCGTATGCACGACGGTGCAAACGGTTCGCCACGGCCGTCGTTTCGTCCGCGAACTTCACAACATCCGCGCGTGTACACGGTGCGCTCGATAAAATTGACTTGACGACGGTGGCGAAAGAAGACGTCCGCCGTCGCACTCTTTTTCGCAGCGCCGCGCCTCTTCCGCGCCATCATAATAGGTCTGTTCTCTGCAGCTGGACTGGCTGCGTGGCCATTTGCCACTGCTTCCATTTTCCTCTTTTTCTACACAAAGTCACAGCTATATATCTGCTTCTTTTTAAGTCCCTTTTTAAGAAAGTGTGACCACCAGATCAGCGACAAAGAACAGGTCCCATGTGACCGCGCTCACAGCTCCTCCTCCGCCCTCGCCGGGATTACGAGAAAGTCTCGCCCTCGTGTACAAGTATGAGCCGTGGAGAGGAAGATCTCCTAGATCCTAAAATGCTGAATGATTTTCTTTTCGCGACGACAGGTCCTCGAGACACTCTGTACTCTCCGGTTTGAAGATATCCCGGTACCTTCTCTGAGCAGAGACTCCGCCGAGTCCTCGGGAGATTTTCTCAGTCTCTCGAATCATTTCGTCAACACGGGGGGAATTTCAGTCGAATTTCATTGGACACTGTCTCTCTCTTTCTCTTTGTTCTCGCGACTCTTCTCACACTCGGCTCGGGAGTGTCTTCATTTTCTCATCTCGAGCTGTCTACAGGGCCGGTCGAGGACCCGCAACAATCGTGCGCTTATTTTGATTATCGAGTATGCTGTGCGAGTCGCGCGGGCTCGTCACAATTGGGATCGATGCAACGGGCGTAATAATTGACGGTTAACGTTACACGCTAATTCGTAGCGTCGTCGGATTAACCTCATTGTCGCTCCTGATTGTATCGTACAATTACTTTACTCCGCCGGCGCTCATATCGCGCGCGCGCGTGAGAGAGAGAGGCGAAAATTGGGTCGCCTCAGAGCGGTGCAATGCGGCCCAAACGAGGACGCTAATTAAAATCGACTAATTACTACTGATATGTGCGCGATCGCTTTTAAGAGCCATTCAATAATTACGTCGTGCGAAATTGAGATATTTTATACTTCCCTTCTTCTCGTCACATTTCGTCACAAAATATTTATTCCCTTCCAATATCACATGACACGTGGAATTATCCTTCCCCCTCCCTCCATCCCCGACACATGTGTGTAACAATTATTAAACTGCACGTTATATCTTTTTTAAGATATAAATAATTTTTATGCGTAATATCAAATTACTTTATTTTATAATTTTAATTAGTGAAACTTGTGATGTTTTAAAAGGATAGATATTCGAAAGTGAGCACAAAACCATGTAAAAATATAAAAATTTCAACCGAATGCAATCAAATGTGTCACGAATGTAAACAAAGTGAGTAGCCACACGCATCCATATTTACAAGTTATGCCACCTAATATGATGTTCTATGGACCTTTACACGCCCTCCCTGTCATCACAGGCCGTCACGCGAGCTGATAGACCCATCCTCCCTCCCCTCATGATGTAATTATTGAATGGCTCTTTTAACATACAATTAAAATCGTCGTCCAATTCTTTTCGAATATCGCCGCCATCGTCGTTCCTCGGCAGCGCTGATTCCTGCTCTTGTCACGTCTACATGATTTTTAGATCGGCGAACCACAACGGTGTAATTTGATTCGCTGAGCAGCGCGATAAAAACGATCACACAGAAACTTGTAATAAATTACATAATAATAATATCCCGTATCGATATTTATATCGCGTCGATCAAAAGCTTTAGTTCGATCGTTGAGTCATATACGGCTTTTCGTGGCTTTGTAATTTTACCGCACTTAACATTAAACCTAAAGGAAAAATTAATTCACCAATCAAGTTCATCACCGTCCTTACTTATTATCCTTCGCCAGCAATCTGGCTCAGCAGAACATTTAACGTCATCCGTTAAAAATCAAATTTCTTTAACTGATGTAATAATTATAACACACATTTCTTAAATCAACCAAACTTTTTCTCAGAGATAAAAATCTACGCACGCACACAGGTATGGTTCGCGATTCACAGCTCTATTGTATTTTTGAGTGACACGTTCTCACGCGGAGTGAGTCGACTGATTGGATCGACTTATTAAAAGACTGTTTTACATTTGAGACTTTTTTCGTCGTTCGCGTTGAAAACTGTGCATCGAGCTCGATCCCACGAGAAGGTGAACAACCAAGGAATAAGAAATGGTATTTGAGACTTTCTCACCCGTCCCGCTATCGTAACGTGACAGCTCGTAACAGCTCGTGGCTCCCGAAAGTTTTCACGTGCCTCACGCTCTCTCTCTATCGGTTTACAAAAGAAGTATTGTCATTATTATTAAACCGTCAATGCTACTGAAACGCCGGCAAAAAGTAACGTTGAATATCCCGTCGACGAGAGATCGTCCACCCGGACCGATAGGGATCCTCGGTGTCGCCTCCTCCCGCACTCATCGATCCTTTTGATATCGAGACTTGCAGTTAATCTGGACATATGCAGATTTCGTAAAAAAATTGCTTTTGATTTTCGGCTGCTTTTTACGGGAGACTCGCAAGGCGATAGACAATCGAGAATCGAAGAATCATTTGCGCGCATCGTACGCGCGTATACATGCGTGCGCCTTGACGGCCCACACATACACACGCGCGCACACACAGGGGGTTTTTTCGTCGTTTAAAGTTAAAGCTATCAGCGCGTAACTCTCATGTAACTTTGCGTTTTTTTTTCTTATTTTTTGTTTTTCTTTAAATCCATCACGAGGAATCTACTGAACGTCGTAGAGTATAGCGATTCATAATTAATTGCTTGATTCGTTAGTAGTAGTAGCAGTAGTAGTAGTAGTAGTAGTAATAATAGTAGTAGTAGTCGCTCGTGGATTGCCGAGCGAGAGAAAGGGTCGAACCGAAGGTAATCGATAACAAGAGTTTCTTCTACGAGCCTACGAATTCACGAATAGTAACGAGACACGCGCTGCGTTTCAAAATTCGGCTCTGTCTCTCTCTTTCTCTCTCTCTCTCTCTCTATTTATATATATATATAATATGTGTATATATATATTTTTATAAATGTATATTGTACTATATATATATATATATATATATATATATAAGACTATCTCGTTATTAAGTATACCCTCTCGCGTTTTAACAAATCGATCTTATTAGGCTATCCTCGTACGCGACGTACGACTTTGCTCGCGGCACGAAAGTCCTTCACGCTCGCTCGTGAAATCCTCTGTGGGTGTATTTACAACGTACGATAGGTGTGGGAGTATCTAACGCGGAGTGCGACACAGGGGCGGCGGGGTAACACGCTCGCTTCGTCCTCTTCGTTTTATTTTCTTCCCTGATTCGGCGAAAAAATCTCCAAGGGCAGGAGAAAGTCGCCAATCCCGCCTCAGATTTCCGCGTTAAATCACTCTGCGGTCTCTCTCTCTCTCTCTCTCTCTTTAACGCGATTGACAAATTATATGTTTCACCTCGCGAGCGTCCTGCCCCGCGTGCGATTCTCCTCTGAGCTTTAAATGAGATGCGTCGGGGTGGGTGATAAGGATGAGATGAAAGGACCGAGTCGGGTGTTTTCCTTCCGATGTCGTGGGCGAGGACACGATGATGGCTAGTTTAAATTGACTGGAGGAACGGGATTATCGATTACCTCGAATTGGCGGTCGGCGAATTAAACGTCGCGCGATGAAGATGCTCGGGTCGCGCGGGTGAATCGGGTCGAGTATGTTCCGCGATGGATTCCCGTGTATAACCGATAGAGATCACGTTTGCGCGTCGATTTGATTAATCCTAACGTGTGTACGTATGAGTGAATGGTTGCCAGGTTGAACCGAGTAAAAATCTCACGGCAGAGTGACACGAGTGAGTCCCCCACGTCGACACAGAGGCAGAAGACGAGAGGATGGTTCGGTGGGATGGGGGAGGGAAGGGAAAGAAAAATCGCGACGACATGGGGCGAGGGGGATGTACGGTCGAAATAATTCGTTTCGGATTCTAGATTACAGCGCTACTACGCTCGAGTTGTCCTATCGATATAGTATTAGTCCGCGATAACTCGATATGACGGGTTACTAAGTTTGGCCGCTTCTAGATTTTTTCTTAGGTATACTGTTCTCCCCTCACCGTCCTCTCTCAAGCCTACGGTCTGAGGAAGACGACGGTCGCTTGGCTCGGGACGAGTTACAGGGCTGTGTCGCCTCTTGTCTCGGAACTCGATCTGCTCAGGCCGCGGAAACAAACCACGAAAAAACACACGGCGCCCGTCGGACTTCCCAGCGACGACAGCGATCATCGTCGTAATCACGCGGCACGTTCGCTTCTTCGGAAAACCGCCCTCGCGCTAGGCCATTTTTTATTAGTCGATAGCTAGCAGCTGGAATTTTTTCAAGAGGCCTTCGAACGAACACTTTCCCTCTCTCTCCGCGGTGCCCCGCGAATCTCGCGAACGGTGGACACGTGTAACGGCCGAAAAAGGGAGTACCGAATTTCAAAAAGTGGTGCAAAATCCCGAAAAGCCACAATCCCGAGAACTAACTACCGCGACAAGTTCTCAAAATATTACTTCAACAAAATACCGAAAGCACAGAATTATCCCGAAAAACTGAATCCGGGACTATCTTGTGAAGTATTGGACTCGTTTATATCTTTGCGAGATAATATCATTTTCTTCCAATACTTAGGGAGATTGTGCCGATAATCAGTTTTCGGGATTGTAATTTTCCGGGACAATTACGCGCTTTCTATTATTTCAAGGAAAGTTCTATTTCGGGAGATTGCCCCGGTAATCAGTTTCTGAGATATTGTCCCATTTCTCAGATTTCGGGATTTTGATTTATCGGAGTTACGCATGCCCACCACCGCGGTGATCTCCTGAAATATAATTTTCCCGAAATATTGAAAGTATGCAATTGTCCCGAAAAGTCGCAATCCTGAAAACTGAATACCGGGACGATCTTCCGAAATACTGGAAATATAAAACGTTATGTTTATAACTTCACGGGGCAATTTCATGCTTTCGATATTTCGGGAGATTGTTCCGGTATTCAGTTTAACGGGACTGCGACTCGTCGGGACAATTGCATGCTCTCGATACTTCGGGGGAATTTTATTTCGGGAAATCGTTCCGGTATTCAATTTTCAGAATATTGTCCCACCTGTCAAGCTTCGGGATTCCGATTTTTCGGAATTATACACGTCCACCCCGCGAACTCGTCATTCGTAACTCGTCCCGCGTGCCGTCGATCTTCTCGCGTGGCTACAGGACACCGGAAGTCGGCCTCAACCGCGTCGCCATGGACCTTTCGGTACTCCTGTGCCACGCGAATCGAACCCTTGACACCCATCTCGACAGTTTTGCACGATCAGATCCCTACTTGTCGTCCCTGAGGAGGGCTTCCTCGGCTTCCTTCCGCCGCGCCTTCGCCTCTTTCTTCGCGCGCTTCTTCTCCTCCTTCGCCAGCTTCTTCGCTTCCTTCTGCCTGGTCTTCTCCGCCTTCTCCTCCTCTTTCTGCCGCGCCTTCTCCGCCTTCTCGCGCTCCTTCTCCCGCTCCTTCTCCTTCTTCGACTTCTGCACTTCCTGGACCACCGACATCTTCGGCGCCGAGGCCGGCCTCTTTGACGCGGCGCGGCCGCACGACGACGCCGATGACGAGGACGTCGACGTGCTGACGACGCCCGGCGTGCCCCGCGGACTCGGCGACGATTCCAGCTGCGTCACGATCTTTTGAGCGCATCTGCGAACCCGTCGATAACAATGTTACACGAGCTCGCGAAAATATCTATGTTCGTCGGGGCCGATCGTCTAAGTCGCTACCTGATTCGGGTGGACGCCTTGCCGGCGCGGTAGTCCCTCTGGAACTCTTTGATCGGCGGCAATCGACGCTCCCGATTTTCCCGCATCACCTCTTCCTCCTCGCTCACCTGCTGAACGGGATCCTGGTACTCCTGTTAATTTCGACAAACAATCGTACGTGCATATCGTCTATCCGGCACGGAGGGCCGTTGTCAGCGCGTCAAACGACACACGAGTCGCGTCTACGCGATCGACGACGACGCGCCCCGGAAATCTACGCCCATGTAGGAATCGTATAGGTGAGACCGGGTCCCGTTGTCACACTCTTTATTTCTTGCGGTCTTGCATTTTATTCAAATTAGTGGGATATTACAATGTAATATATAAAGCTGACTTGAAAAATTGTATATATATCGATGTATTGCGTTATATTAATAAAGAAACATAAATGATTTCTTCTATAGAAACTTAAGTGCGTCATGAAATTAATTGGATTTGCTTGGAACAACATTCGGCGATCAGTACGCGTGCTTAGACGCGCGTACTTAAGGAATGCCACAGCGTGACAGTCTCGGTATTGTATCCCGGTATTGCAAATTGATCATTTCTGGCACTTGGCAGCCCTGGGAGTCGGTATAGCCGGCTCATTGCTAGCATCCCGGCGTCGCACCGGTATCAAATCGCATCATAGTAGCACTAAAAATCTCAAAGAAGAAAAGTACCGACCACCAGTGCCTCGCCAGCAATTACTTCCTATTTGGGCCGGTATTCTACACACCAACGGACAAATCGCTAACCTGAATCCGCATTTTCATCGACTGCGTCTGGGAACGCCTAAGCGTGGCGCCTGTGGGCTGCCGTACCCTCGTAGGTTTGCCGAGCGTGGAACTTCCGGTGCTATTCGCGGACGAGGAAGTCGCCGAAGAGACGGAAGACACTCCTGCGCGAGCGAATTGGATTCAGAGAATGCGGCCGATTCGGGGGAGGGGAGGCATTTCTCGGCTTTGCCGGTAAGGAGTAAAAAACGGATCATCCGCGAGAACGACGATTCGCTGGCTACGAACCAGATATGGAGGACGAACCGCTGGCCATCGAGTACAGGGAGGCAGAGGCTGGCACGCTTCCGGGTCCCCATCTGCCGCCGGGCCCGGACACGCCGGCGGTGACGCTTGTGCCCATGTTGTACTCCGACGCGCTTTGCGGCAGCACCCAGGATTTACCCGACATCGAATACTATAAGCCAAAACAGTCTCACAGTGCACAATCGAGCCGCGAAATCTCCGAGCGAAACATATCTGGAACGTTTACGACGTTATTGCCGTGTGAAACATTCACGCCGAAACGAACTCCGGCGGCTAATTAACATTATTACGGCGAATTCATCAGTGTAAACGGTGCTCCCCTTGTTTCCTGTGCTCGCGTGCGATGCAATGTTATATTTAACGAAGTGATAACGAGCCCTCTTTTGGGATTAATTATTTACCGAACGCGATCGATCGCGCAAGGTGGCGACCGAGCCGGCCCGCTCGCAGAGAGCGAGCGCGATATTTCCAGCAGTTTCGATTGGTAAAAATTGTCTTTGAGTGCCAGCGGGTGTGTGCATCGCGTGTGTACGCGGTAACCGAATTGGGATTGCAAAGGCGCCGACGGCTTTGTGAATTCGCTCCAATTAGCAGCGCGATTTTCGTCAATGTCGCGCGCTCACACCGGCGGAAACGAAACTAAATATACGAAACTGAAATTCATGCGGATGCTCGACGAGACGACGGGAATCGATAAAAAATGAATCTCACGACGGTGAGCTTCGGTCGCGAAAAATAAAAGAGGAAGTATAAACGCGGGAGAGGGGGAGGTAATTGACGGGCGTGAGCGTCCGCTCAAAAGTGAAAAGGTCCTCCCCTTGCGATGAAATACGCGTTCAGATCGTTACTTACGTCACGCGGAATGAGAGTCTGCTTCAGACGGAGGATCTTCGCTCTGCATATGACGCATCTCAGCGGTAAGAGCCTCTGAGAGACCGCCATTTGTATCGTTTTGACGAAGCAGCGTCTGCAAAAACCGCCGGTCACGAGAGCTTAACTACTTTCATCGAGCTTCCGTGAATGAAAGAAACGACTTCTTTTAACGTGAAGCCGAACGAGTTAAGCGCGTCTCGGCGTTTGCGACACGCCGACGTGCAGGGGATAATTATTAATTGTTAATCCCGGGTTTTCCGCATGGAGAAAGACAAATCAATTACAAGGCTTCGTGAAATGCAAAAATTGTTAGTACAAGGCCATTAAGAGCCCAGCATAATACTTATATAGTGCCATAAAAATCACTAGATAAGTATACAAGATATGTACGTTTATTTCTAAACGCAGATCCGTCAGATTCACTGTTAGATTGTAATTATTATTGACGATATAGCTTGCAATTAGTTCTCAATTAGTTTGCGAAAAATCAATGTATACATAGTTATCTTTCACTTCTCACGGCGCTACAAAGAAAAAGTGCGGAGCACCGTCGGCAGAAAGTTGCCGCGAGGAAAAACGGGCAAGTACGCCCGAAATACTTTTTACCTACCTGCATACCACCCGATGCCCGCATGGCGCCGTTTGCATCGTCGCCCTCGCGTTTACGCATATGACGCACTGAAAAAATAACGAAGCAGTCGTCGGACGCGGTCTACAATATTGAACAGAGCTTGATTGGCAATCGCACGGACGATGCCGAATATTGACTAGACGGGAAGGGATCGACAAAAAGTGAAAAAGAGAAAAACGGGGAAACAGGCAGACAGGTACAGAAAAAGAGGGAGACAGAGAGAGAGGAGAGAGAGAGAGAGAGAGCTTGCGACCGTGGTAGCTTTTGTATTCGACATTGGTCGCGTTTTCTTTCTATTTGTGTATTACATTTATATATTTGCACATGTGAACGTGATTAGAATCCAGACAACACATCGTTGTTGTCCATAGGATCGGGACAGCCGCTATTGCTACGCCGGCGTAACGTAATTAGGCGTCGCTTTAATCGAAATATTAATAGCTCGTCGAGGGTGGACGAACACGTCAGGAGTCGAAGGGTTGCGACCGCCACTTTGTCATCGTCGTTAATCGACTTTTGCGACCGATTGGCCGGCCAATTCATTCGGAAATTGCGACTCTTCCGGATGGACGGTCGTCGTATTTTGCGCGATATAGGAGGCTCTTCCGTTAGCGTAGTTCACTTTATCGCGCGACCCGCGCGCCTAATCGAGAGAGTGTCGGCTTAACCAATCGAGAAGATACACGCGGCATTTCTCTGACGTAATACAGAGATGCGATCGTACGTACCACCGGAACTACGGCCGAGCCGTAGGAGAAGAAGGGCGCACGTTTCATTCATTCATCTCCGATATCTCGTGATTTTCATACTTCCCCCATTCTTTCTCGCATCTTTCATATTGGCCGTGCGTGGAAATTTAAGCGAGGACAATTTTCCGAATTCCCGCGGAGAAAATTCCACCTGAATGCGCATTAGTCGCGAACGCGCGTAATATTCATCAAGCTCCATTCGCCGACTAATTTCCGACCCGTGCTTTTACGTAGGCACGGGGATTGTTCTCCGCTCGCGGTTCAGCGCGCGACCGGCTGAAAGAATACTTCGTCTCGTTTCGCCGTTTTGTTCTCTCGCTGTGCGGCGCGCCTTCCCGCCGAGGGACAGAAGAAATTTCATTCGCTCGCCAATCACCGGGCCCGCGGCGAACTTACGAATTATGTCTGATTGTCCGTCGCGAAATGAGCAGGGCACAACAGGATTAACCTTAAGGAAGAACCTTAAAGAGGAAAGTGTAGGTCTAAGGGGAAGAGAGACAGCGAGCGTGTCGAATGCCAATCCAAGCGGGAATAGCTTCTCTCGACGAGCCGAATCGGCGACAGCCTCGAACGCTCGCGAGAAAGGGAAATTTTTCGTCGCTGAGAGAACTTTATTTCGCGACGAATTATTATTTCTCTCTCTCTCTCTCTCTCTCTCTTTCTCTGCATAGTAAACAATATCTTATTAAAAACGGTCCAGTGAAATTTATGTTAGCTTTAATAAAGTAACAAAAACTCCAGTGGTTTTTAACATACAATTTTTTACTATGTATACACATATGTTGTTTAAAAGTTCGAAAACGGCGAATTATCTCCGAAGTGACTAGTTTTATTGAAAAATGTTTGAGACAAAACTTGCAGTGTTCAAAAAATTATATTAGATAACAATATCTCTGTGACCTTAAAAGACTTAAAGTACCCTAAATAAGTAGGTGCCCTCTTTTTATTACAAATTTCAGTAACCGACGTCGAGATCTTCTCAAAATACTAATGACAATATCCAATCCGGATCTTTACTTCAAAAGCTAAAAGGGTCAAATGCTGACTTGCCATCAGCATCAGCGTTACCCGATGGGCATTGCGGAAAGGTTTTTGTAGATCACACAAAAGACCGATTGTGTGATTGGCTCTTTTCAGAGCCATATGATGGGCAAAGTCCGAGCAACCTTCTCGCGGCGTTCATCAGATAACGTTGATGTTAGCGGCAGGTCACAATTTAACACTTCCAGCTTTTGAACTAAAGATCCGAATTAGACATTGTTGTCATAGTATTTTAATAAAGTTTCGATGTATTGAAATTTATAATAAAAGATAAGAGTACCCATTTAAATTTTTCAAGCTAATCTTGACAGGTTATGCCAACGTCATTTCAAGATTACAAAGATATTGCCATCTAGCATAATTTGTTGAACACTGCAAGTATGTTTGAAATATTTTTCAACAAAACCATTTATTTCGAAGATAATTGGCCGTTTCCTCTGTGATCACCTTGTATAGAGTTATAAATCAATTCTACTCTACTCTCTTTCTCTTTAGAGATAGCTGATTTTGGTCGCTCGACGATGCACTAAGAAAATTATAGTTATTTTCGGTACCAGCAATACCCTTTCGTTATTTTACACACGAAACTAGTCGACTATATTTCCAGTAAATATTACTGTAATGCCAGTAATAATAACCTTACGTGCTATGTTGCTGCTTCTATTTTCGTAATTAAAATAACAAAAGGATATTGTTCGCACCGAAAGTAATATCTATAATTTTCTCTCTCAGCGTGTGCTCGTCGTGAGCGCCGTTCGGAGAAAATTCACTCGTCCTGGCACCTCAGCCGTGCCCGTCCCTTACCTCGTCCTCCTGCGAGGATGCCAATTCCGGCTCGTTCTCCTCCAGTTTCGTCAACAGCTTGTCCTGCAAGCAGAAGAGAGAGATCCCTCTCGTCAGAATACATTATGCGAATCGATTCCGCCGGAATTCCCCTTGTCGGAGGGATGATCGGATTAGATCGGGACGCGCATCGCTCGCTCCCGGGAGAAAATCATGCTTCCCGAGGAGTAAGAATTCCTTCGCGACTCAATGGTTGCTCGCGGTTTCGACAGGGCGTTCCGCCGAGACGGAGCCGACGATTAAAGCAATTTGGTAATCTCGCTCGTTTCGCGTAATCGCGCGCCGCTGTAAAAAGGAAAGAAAGGGGGAGGAAAGTAGATCGCGGCGAGATGACGGTACCGGCAGCTCTACAAAACGATCAGCTGGCGCTGATGCTCGCCAGTTCGCTCTTGAATCCGGTATAAGGCGATACCGCGCATTAGGTTCCTCGGTGCAGCACCGTCGCTCGGGAGACTCTCGACAATGTCAATCCCGTCATTCCTCGTGCCTATGCTCTGTCACTTGTACATTTTCCGAAGAGGTAAATCGAGCACAGCGTGAACGTAATCGCGCGACAACTCCCATTCCTGTTCCGGCGCGAGCAACGATTATACCCTCCCCGAGAGTGCATCGCAAAGTGCTGAACGTGCATACGTTAATACACGGGACGCTGTGTGCGTTAATTAGCTCGGTGATCTCATAGTGTGCGTTAATATTTCATATTCGATACCCGGTACGGTATAATTTGTAATAATCAACGGAGCGGAGAATGATTTATTTTCATCGGACGGGGCTGTGCGAGCGTGGACACACTTAATACTGCACACACTGAGAGAAAAAATATCTAAGAAATAAAAAATACTTATTTGGTGGGTACTAATAATGTATTTACTTACGCTAAGATAGATATTTTTACACTGAGAAAAAATATTTTCAAATGAGAAAATATGTACTTTCTGAAACCTGCAGCTTCTCATGAAAGTAATTGTCTGTTCTGCTTAAAAATAAACGACGTTAGAGATTTAAGTAAATACAGTATTAACACCCACCCGAATAAATATTTTTTATTTTTAGATATTTTTTCTCTCAGTGTAGAATACTAACCTTTTGTTTCGGGTCTATGCTTTTAACCTTACATCTTGAAGACGTGACCGTGTAGTTAACGTTAGAAGTACCGAGCGGTCGCTGGCCGTTTCTATTTCTTACATTAATCTTTTATTTCTTGTGCGAAAGATAGGATTCTGAAATGTTACGATTACTCATCAATCATTTCTTTAATCAAGTGATTAATAAAAAATCAGAAAATTTAAGACAGGAAACAGAATATTAATCTAAAAAATAGAAACGGTCAGAAATGACCGCTCGGTGTTTCTGGTGTGAAGAAAAGGAATACTCAAAGATTTTGTAACGTGACTTAAATATATTTTCAAAATATAAAACAAATTGGAAATTAGTGGGGTGAGAAGCAAAGGAGAGAAAGGGGCTCGTAGAAAATATCTACGTCTCGAGGACGCACGTTAATATTCCAAGGTTAACCATCGAAATCCAACGACCGACGCGGGGGGAAAAACTGTTAACCGTCAGCGGACGAAAACTAGATCACACTGTTATTCGCGTGAATTAGCGTGCAAACCGGCTGTGCAGTCGGCACATGTATCTGTCGCTCACGTATACGCGATCGCGCTAAGTGTAATTCCGTTTCATTAATAACGGCGGAATCACGTAAGCCGGCGTGATTTATGTCAGAGGCGGCGACGGTGCGCGATAAAAGTACCGACGGTGGAAAGATCGGCGGAGCCGGTCGTAATTAACGGATGACGAGTCGTCTGTGGCGATTCGCGAGACATGAATTTGGCGAGCACACCTACTGAAACGTATCTATACTGAAGAAGCCTAGAAAAGTGAAGCCTACAGAGAGGCCAACTTTGGGGCATCCTCTCTTTATCGTACGCGTATGCATCGCTCTCTTTAGAAAGAGATAGGTTGCCCTAAACTTCTATCTGCCTCAGACGCTCTCTTAAGTTGAATCGGTGAAAATGCCACTAATTGAATCAGTGAAACAGTATCCTACCGATAATCAGTGAATATTCACTCATTTTTCGTGGAAACGTTTCCACTTTAGCCTTCTATCTGATACTTCACTGATTCCGGCCGGCGAAAGATTCACTGCAAATCGCTGTTACGCGTCCCGTAGTGTACAAAAATATGTGTACATATCATACATGTATTCAACCATGTGTATTTGATGTAGTTTGCACGGTAACAGACTCAAGAGCTAGATGTTTCGAGTTCGAGTCCCGTCGGAACAAGCGTGTTTTTCAAATACGATGTAAATGAAATCAATTAACCTTTCGACTGCCATGCTGATTTCTCAGACGCAGGTTTCCAAGTGGGACGAACGGCTGGCTTCAATCAATGTTCAGTGTAATAGCATGTTTATGACGTTAATTATATTAAATAATAATGACGAAAATTATATTAAAATATAATAAATAAACATAATGCATACATGTGATATAATGTCGTTTATTTTCACGTATAAAAATCAACTAGAAAAATCCATAAAAATGATGAAAATTGTCCGACAGAATTATTCGAAAAAAATTATTTACGGAATGAACGGTTCGCCCCGCTTGGGAGTCGAAAGGTCGGATACAATTAAGAACATTTCAGGCCAAATCGTTGACAATGCCTTAAGAGTGGGATTAAGATAATAGAAAAGAAGACATAAATAATATCTTTCTTAACTGTTTACGCAGTTAGAACTCCGATGGAAGCAGCTGTTGCTCTCAACAGGCTTTCGCAGCGAAATTTCACTGATTACAGTGCTATACTTACAAATATGATCACTAGTGACCACTGACTGTTTCTCGAACTCGATAATACACTAATCGCACTTTAGAGGACATATTTTCCATCGAACAGGCGTTACATGACGATGCCCCCTTCCATCGTGCTCATATTTCAGCGCGCCCGAGCGAAGTGCCAAGTACGATGCGACAACGGGGACGCGCGTTGTTTTCGCCCGATCTCTTGGCGCCCGGGCAAGATAATCAGCCGTGTTGAGCGTCGCGGAAGTGCGCCGCTAATTTACTAATCCGATCTCTCGTCGCGTCTCGCGACGGCCACTCTCGTCTCGCGCCTCCGACTCCGACCTGGTATGCCGGCGCGGTGCATTGATACCGAAATGAGGTAATCAGAACGCGTAACGCGTCTTGCGTGAAAACCCCGCTTACTTATACGGTACAACAAATCCCCGATGCTGACGCGTGTCGCCCTTCACCGTGAAAGGACGATCGGAGCGCGATTTCAAGGCAATCTCGACGGGGGGAGATCCTCTTCCACTTTTTCTCCTCCTTCTTCGTAACCGGCACCGCGAATATCGCGCGAATGTAATCGGACGCCGGGAAATTGAGGATCCGCGTGCGGACGAATCCGGTGACCCCCTAAACTCCTCGCCATTTGGCGCGACGCGTCGTGATATTACATTCTCTCTCGCGGGGGAAAATCGCAGGTTCACCGAGCCTGCTCCCAGGTGTGGTGTAAAAGAATCCGCGCACGCGGCGCGCCAGACGACGTCCTCTCACGCCTCCCTCGCCCCACCTGCTCCTTATCGTTCAACGATGCGGTATTCTTTCCGACGAGAAGCACTAAACAGAGTCGTAACACCGAGAATGTCAGCGGTGTGTATGATTACGCGGCAGAAGCGCGCTCCCAACGCGACGTCACCGAAGCGAGGAAAATCCAGCGCGACTGATGAATAGCGATGTCGATTGCGGAAGGAAAAAAAGAGTAAATTCTTCGCCGTAACGGTTAATCCGCGAGGTGCGCGGATGACCGACATTCGGAATGTCCGATTTCTATGTGTTATTCCCGTTCGCTCGCCTGCTCCTCTCACCTGATCACGGCGGTCCGCCGAAGATGACGCTTCTTTGCCTCCCATCGGCGACCCGAGGTGAGAAAATGAGGCTCACACCCGGTTTAGGTAATACACGCTGACATAACGGCTCTCGGCACGCTCCGGCGGGCCCGAGGCGAAAAAAGCGTCGGTTACTCTCTAAGTGTATTGCAGTGTATCGTCATTGAGATGCAGTCCGCGGTCACCGGTGGTCGTAGTACAGCGTAGCACTGCGAATCAGTGAAATCTCGCTGCGGAAGTCCGTCAGTTTGTGGAATAAAAATGTATTCTCTCAAAAGCGAGATCGCGGCAGCTACAGAAACTAAATGTCCGAGGACGTACATTACTGAAACTGATTTCACTTAGTTTTCTAATGTAGAATTTATCCCGCGAGTTTCTCGGTGGAATTCCGGTGTACCCTGTATATTTCCTCAACAGTACACGTAACAGCGATTTGCGATGAATCTTTCATCGGCTGAAATCAGCGAGGTATCAAACAAAAGAGCTGAGTGTGAAAGTTTCACCGCGAGAAATTCGTCAATACTGACTGATTACAGCCAATTATATTTAGATTATAATCAGATAATGATCGGTACTGTTTCGTTGATATAATCAGCGACTGATTCGACTTAAGAGAGTAACAGCACGATAAGTATTCAAGGCGAAAGTGTTAAGCCACGACCTATATTTTGGGCGGGTCACTCGAAAAGATGTTATCATCCGGTTGCGCAATTACGAAATCATTCGCTCGCCTCGAAGCATGAAGTGTACTTGGACGGACTTTCACTAACCGCTCCGATCGATTCTTTCTTTATCATCCGCTCGAGCGTCCTCTTTCTTCTTCTCCTTCTTCTCCTCTCTTCACCAGGATTTCACGCGGTACGAGCGCGTTGATCCCCGAATCTCCGACGTTTCTGCGCTGTACCGAGTATTCGCGGCGAGCGAACCGCGAAATTAAAACCGGTATTCGCTCCTGCGTTTCCGCACGAACGAAAGCCGTTCGTCATCGACGCATCGCCGACACTCTCGGAGCGCAAGATCGAAGGGATCGCGCGGAGGGGAGCGACCGCTCGCTGCTCGACAGCCACTTAACCGCGCACGTTTTCCGCGAGAGCCTAATTGCTATGGAACACGCGGCATCACGTGC